CTGTCAACTTGTAGTAGTGCTCTGTCAACTTGTAGTAATGTTCTGTTAACTTGTAGTAATGTTCTGTCAACTTGTAGTAGTGTTCTGTCAACTTGTAGTAATGTTCTGTTAACTTGTAGTAATCCTCTGTTAACTTGTAGTAATGTTCTGTCGACTTGTAGTAATGTTCTGCCGACTTGTAGTAATGTTCTGTTAACTTGTAGTAATGTTCTGTCAACTTGTAGTAATGCTCTGTCAACTTGCAGTAATGCTCTGTCAACTTGTGGTAATGTTCTGTCAACGTGTAGTAATGCCCTGTCAACTTGTAGTAATGTTCTGTCAACTTGTAGTAATGCTCTGTCAACATGTAGTAATGTTCTGTTAACTTATAGTAATGTTCTGTCGACTAGTAGTAATGTTCTGACACACTCTCTAGAAGTATTGTTGGTCAATTCATTAAAAACAAAAATATGTTCATAATTGCAACAATTAGCGTTAAAGGAGCTATGCTCAGCAATTAGCGTTAAAGGAGCTATGCTCAGCTGTTTCTGTCTCTGAGATTTTACAATCTTTTCACGATTATCTTTTCATCATTTATAGGATTCATAGCGTTATCTTGAAGTTTTATTGATTATATTTTCAATGGGTCACCACTAAAAAAAATGAAAAATTGGTTTATGGGATAATACAAATAAATTACTTGGATAAATAATTAAGTATAATTATAGATTAAATATACTTTTTTATCTTTTCCTCCGCTGTATATGATTTCTTTTTAATTTTCTACAAACTCGCTTTATTATTGCGTTCATTAATCTCATTTTAAGTGATTTGTATCAAACTCCAGATTTTAACGTTATATCTGTGTTCATCTTGTATTTATTTAAGACGATATCCCGAAATTTATTAATTTTTCTTTTATAATTCTAAATTATTTCATATCGATGTCAGACGATCTTGCGAAATTCCTATATTAGGTTTTGGTTTCGTCTTAGAGATAATTTTAATTCATTTATAATTTCGAATGAAGATTATCGAAGTGTAACGAAATGACAAACTTCATTCTTGTAAACAAACGATCCAAAGATTTATTTATCATATTATAATTAAAATTACACTATGCTGTTTATTAAGATATATTACTACTTTTATCATTTCCTTTTAGTTTTAGCATATATATATCCGAGTCTCAAAAGCATGTTCTAAAAAAATATTCCTGTTTTCTAAGTATAAATTTTTGAATGAGGTGATGTAAATCTTCAATAGATTTTAATTTTAATTCCACAGCCTAAAATGATATTTCAGTGTACCTTTTTTACTGACTGACATTCAAACTGATTGTTGTTATTCAAACTGGTCTGGTTAATGTTATAGTTGGACTTTATCTAAATGTTAAGATTTGTTCACCTTAAAAGGCTTAGCTCCTTGTAAATATATTACAGATTCTCCTTATCTTTACCACACTTTTGTATTGCATATTCTGATATGTAAATCGCTATATTTTATTAATAATTGTTTAGGAGTATTTATATTCTGTGAAAACTGGCTTTCTCAAATCCAAATATATTAAATAAATGTAAGGATGTATAACGCAAATTTTGTTTCTGTTCATCACGTGACTGATGAAAATAATGTGCAGTTTTAAACTCACGATGTATAAAGTAAAATGGACAAACAATCGAAAACAAATAATTTCCAGTCCTGAGGTGTTTCATAAAACAATAGGGATATAGATTTCTAAACGCTTAGTAACCCTTGGTGAAAGTTGATAAAAACCAGGATATAGATTTACAAACGCTTAGTAACCCAATTAACACATGCGTGCAGTGAATTCCATGATGGGTAAAGTTTCAGAAACTGGTGAGCCAAACATTAAAAGCTGAACCCCGAGAGATGGCTTAAGTCAGTTTTTCAAAAATGTTTCATCGCGAAAATATTCTGCTTTTCCCTGAAACATTTAACCTAAACTAGTTGGACACATAGAATATTGAACTCTTAATTACACATAGACTTCTGTGTTTGTGCTTCTGTGTTCTAAATTCTGTTTATATTCTCCTCTAGGAATCAAACTTCTTCGTGTATATTTAGGAATTACACTTTTGTTATTATATTCCATAGTTATTAACTGTCACAAGATTATTTACTCTTTTCACTACAGTGTAAATTCTTTGTGGTGTGTTACAAACAGCCATCTGTAGTTCTAAAGCAATGATAATAAAGTTAAGTTCGTGACTAGATGTAACTTTTGTGAACAACTTGCTGTATCGATAAACTACGAAATAGTTACCGTTAAACAACTTTACAGATTTAAGTATAAAATTAATGGTTTAGTGGACTGTAAATATAAGTGTTAAAAATAATCGAACAATACACGATTACTACACAACCGAAATTACACCGAAATAAAGAAAAAAATTTGTTTTAGGTTAAGGTGTAAAGTAATAAGAAGCCAAAGGCTGCCTGGAGGGGTCACCTGTTCTAACCACTTGCATCACTATATAGTAGTGTGTTGTCTGTCAGTCAGTCAGTAGATACTAAAATGATGTCACATAAGTGACGTTTAACGTTGCAATTTGTACTATCATGACGTCAGTAAAACGTGCGCTTGCCAAGAATCACGAGAAAAAGTATGCACTCTGTAAGCTACAAAATATGTCATATGAACTTCAAAAGCAAGAAAAAAAATATTTGTTACTCTTAATTCTGGTTTTATTTACTCTTGAAACAACACTTTGGGGAACCCTGCGAAAGTACATCTAGTTATTCACTATATTTAAAAAAAAAGTACACTAGACCAAGAAGAAACTAGTACAGTGAAATTCATCACGAAAATCGGTCTTTTAGTTTCTTTGTTGTTTGTCAACTTTCGTTTCTCTTATCTTGATATCTTAATGATATCACTACATACATTTTTAAAAACTTTGTACGGTTTCGGGTCTTATTCGCTTCCTCGGTTAACAATTAACATTTTATTTAGAGAATCTAACTTTAATCAAAAAGGCAAACGTACCAGTTAAGGGGTCCCTCAAAAATTATGTAATGTAATTTTTCTCTCTTTCTAACACCCCTCACCCTTATGTAATTAATACAGGTTGTAACACCTCTAATTCATTACGCAATACTGACTGATCAATTACCCACCGCCAACCCAGACCCTTTAAGTATGAATATCTTTAAGCATATCAGAAAAATAAATATATGGTTTCTTTAATATATAAAGTAAATTATTTAGTCAATGGTGACATCCTTCAATGCAAGCTGTCGCCGTCTAGTGGATTATGATAAAAACATCTTTATTGCCAAGAAGGTACTGGTAATGTTGTTTAAAATTCAAATTGAAGTCTACCGAAGTATAATAAAGCTTCTTGTGTAAGTTATGTTATATAACACTGTTCATGACATCCTTACCCCCTTGTCTTAAAAACTCTCCCACCGACTAGCGTTTTTGTATGACTCCTCACATCTGTTTTATATTGCGATCTGTAGAGTCTATCAAGCAAAAAAAAACAAAAACAAATGTGAAATAATATATTTTATACACAAATATGCTTTGTTTGAACTGTGTTCTGACAATTAATAAATTCTAAAAACTATAATATTATACATTTTCGTATAAGTGAATAAACTGTGTGGCACAAAGAAAACTTCAATCAAAGATTAATAAGGCTTAGAAAAACATTTTTAAAAAATATATATTTTTGGGGGGATCTTTCAAATAGTTAATATTACAATTATCTCAATCATTTTTCTTCCTAAATTAAAAAAAACGTTATTTTATTAAAATGTGTTTTGACAAAAACGTAGTACAGTATGTCTTCGGTTTGGTTTTTACTTAATATTCAATGGGAGATTTGGAGAAAAAAAATATTTTGGTTGGAAATATGATGTTCAACTTATCATGTAGATACAAAAACACAAAGACGATTCAATGGTT